CTGCCTAATCTGAACAATGTGAGGTTCTATTAACCCCACTGCTCAGAAGCCAGTTGGTTTATCTGCTAAAATATTAACAAAAGATGTATTTCTTGGTCATGCAGAGCTCAAAAACATAACAGAAGTTCCATTTGCAAAGCTGTATTTAGTTCCTTCAGAATAGCTTAGTGTTGCCTTAAATGGCTTTAAAGCCAAGATTCACAGACAAATGCAGGGTGCAGGTTGATACTGGAGATGTGAGTGCACACATCCCATAGATGATCTCCTGCAGCCAGCAACTAACAGATGTGGTCTAGAGCTAGAGGACACTTACAGAAGCTTCCCAGCTCACTCGTCATCTTGTACAGAGAAGGGTATTGAAGTACAGCAATGAGAAGTTACTTAGTCAGATTTTGGCTTAAATGTCACCTTGTCTAAAATGACTGCACAGTCTAAATTAACATTCAGTCAAAATCTATTTTATCACTGTCTTAATTCCCAATAAACTATTTCCTACAATCTGCTAACTTCTTCCTGCCTGTCATTTATTTATTATATCATGCCTGTCTTCTCCTATTAGAATATAAATTCCATGAGAATAGTGATCTCACAGACATTCAATAAATATTTTTTTGAATAAATGAATACTAAATCTTTAAAAACTTGTCCAAAGTCACCCTTAAAATGGCAAGGCCGGCCTCCCGACTTTCAGCGTGATGGTCCTGTCACTAGTAATGAAGGATTAGACCATGCCACTTCCTCCTTATATGCAAGCAGTGTGATTTGCTTGGGCTGATGGAAGATGTCTTTAGTGTGGTCTGATGCTTTTAGACTGATATCGTTTGCTCGGGTTGCCACACTTCACTGACAGCGCTTTCCTTTCGGCCTCTTGCTTCTCGCATGGCAGCAGAGAAGCCACAAAGCATGTTTGTCCCTATATAAGCAAGAGATCTCAGCTGTTAGGGAAGAGCTCTGTGTCCCTTTTTTCTCAAGATGATGAGAGTTGAATGAGAATGTATAGTAACTGGTCCTGCTGGTATCTGGAGATCTGAGTCTACCTTAATGAAAAGAAGCTCTTTTTCCTTAGAGATCTCCCTTCTCATAACTGCCCTCAGAAAGAGGCTTGTGGAATTGTTACTATGTGCATAGCAAAACCTGCTGGGTGGTTGTCATTCTTTCTCAACTGTTCTATATGAGGTCACATGACTAACTCAAGTGGCCCAGCTTGAAGGTGATAGACTTGGAATTGCAATCCAGTTCTGTGTTTATGAAAGCAAGGCATAGTTATTTTGCATCTTAAATCAAGTACCCTTCCTTATCTCTGAGAAGCCAGCTGAAAGCTCACCAAGTCTTAAGGGAAATAACAGTGTGATGGTTAATATGACCACTACAAGTACTATAACCGTCTGCGGGTTTGTAGTAAATTTCTATTCATAAAGTACTTTTATATGCATTAATACCTATTCTACATCTGTAAATATTGGAAGATACAGTAGCTATTACCTGGGCCAGGAGTGCCGGTTTGGTTCATATGAGTGCTGGCTCAATTCTAGGTGTTTGGACTTCCCTTCCTCGCCAAAGACAAATTTAAGGTAAAAACTCTTCAACTGAGGTGAGATGACTTACTCTACTCTTTTCAAGGACATGAGTTTGTGTCTGATAAGGAGACTGTAGTTGCTTGACAAATGGGCTTACAACCAAGGCTAAAGTCACCTAATTCAATGAGGAGAGAAACATGCTGGGAGAGATAAAAGGAAACAGATACCTCTTTGTCTGAGACACAATTGCATTTTGTCCTTTAAATTTTTATGATATTTAGTTAGTGTCAGTAAGGAATAGTTACTAACTCTACAGGTACCTGTAGAATACTGCAGATTTTCTCCTCCAGGATTTTGATGCTTGCTGAGGCAAAGATAGAAGCCAGGCACCAGCGTCTCATGCCACTAATCCTAGCTAGATTGGGAGGTAGAGATTGAGAAGTAGGTGGTTCAAGGCCAACTTGGATAAAAAGTTCAGTCAGCAGCTGGGCATCCCAGCGAGACAGGAGACTAAGAGCAGGGGAGTACTGTAATTCTAGATTACCCCCCCCCCCCCCGCTTTAAAAAAATTATAAGAACTTATATCTCAACCAAAAAAAAAGGCTGGTTGTAGTTGTATACCTTTGCCGTCCTACCTACGGAGGGAAGTAGAAGTAGGAGGATGGTGGTCCAGGCCAGCCCTGGGAAAGTGGAAAACTATCTCAAAAATGATGAGAGCCGGAGGTATGCTTCACATGGTTAAGAGCCTGCCTAGTAAGTTTAAAGCCTTTAGTTCAAACCTCAGTATTCCCACCCCCAAATGGAATGTATTATTTTCTTGTTAACTGATAAGAGCAACAAAGTAAAAGAAACTGTAGGTAGGACTGCAGACTCTTCTCAAGTGGTACCTGTCTAGCAATGTGAGACTCTTAAGTTTAAACTGTATTACCACTAATGATAATGTTGTTGTTAGTGCACCATGTGATTTTTTTTGTTCCTTTTGTATGTTCTCCCCCCTATGGCATATACCTTGTCGTCGCTGTATTTGCTTTTGGTGTCCTGGTATTGTATATACATTTATTTGAATTAGGGAAGAGAAGGGGAACAACAGGAAGGTGAGACCAAGGACAGGGCGGGAGCCAATGCAACAGCGACATACACAAGACAGTATTTGGAAATAATCTGTGCAACCTGGGGGAGGGAAGGTCGGGGAAGGGGTAACAGCTTTGAAAAGAAATGTACCTTACTTATGTAACTGTAACTCCTCTATTCATCACCTTGACAATAAAAAGCAAACAAAAAATAAGGAGGAGGCAACAATGCTTGATAAGAAATGTACTCATTATCTTACCCATGTAATTGTAACCCCTCTGTACGGTATTGTCACAGTAAAAAAAAAAAATAATGAGGAGGAGGCAAAGAAGAAGAAGTAGCAGCAGCAGAAGAAGAGCTAAGAGTTTAATAAACGCTTTGCTGAGTATGGTGGCTCACAGCTGTAATTCCATCTACTTGAGAAGTGGAGGTCAGGAAGATCATAGTTTAAGGCTAATATAGGCAGAAAGTTAGCAATACCCCCATCTCAGCTAACAAACCAGGTCTGGTGGTGTGCACCTATAATCCCAGCTAGAAGGGAGATGGTAGGTAGAATTGCAGTCTGAGCAAAAACAAGATCATCTGAAAAATAATTTAAATGACATAAAGAGCTGTGGGCAAGGCTTAAGTGGTAAAGCGCCTGCCCTTAGTTAAGAAAAAGAAAAGAAACGAAAACCAGGAAAATATATTAGTATTTTGTCATTTAAAAATCTAAATCTAGCCGGGCGCTGGTAGCTCACGCCTGTAATCCTAGCTACTCAGGAGGCTGAGATCTGAGGATCGCGGTTCAAAGCCAGCCCGGGCAGGAGAGACCATGAGACTCCTATCTCCAATAAACCACCAGAAAACCAGAAGTGGCGCTGTAGCCCAAGTGGTAGAGCGCTCGCCTTGAGCTGAAGAGCTGAGGGACAGCACCCAGGCCCAGAGTTCAAGCCCCACAACCGACAAAAAAAAAAAAAATCTAAATCTAGAAATATATATTTTCTAAAGAGAAAAGTTTAACTATACTAAGATGGTCTTTTTCCAAAAGGATGATTATAAACCTATTGAAGAGCTATTAGGAATTGCCTGCTGGTGGCTCACACTTGTAAGCCTAGCTACACAGGAGGAGAAGATTTGAGCAGTTCACTTCAAAGCCATCCCAGGCAGACAAATCTGAGAGACTCTTTATCTCCAGTTAACCAGCAAAAAGCTAGATATGGTATAGCTCACATGTTAGCGCACCAGCCTTGAGTGAAAAAGCCAAGTGAGAGATTGAGGCCTTCAATTCAAGCCCCAGTATTGGCACACACTAAGAAAGCTATTAGGAGATAGTTCTGGATTTCTCCAATTCTGCACATTTCATGAGCATGCTCTTTTCAGGAACACTGGTGTAGAAGACAAATGGAAGATAGAGGCATCAGTTCCTCTGCAGCAAAGTGTGTGTGTATAGCAGTGCTGTCCAGAGATTGACAGTCTCTGAGCTGGTCCTCTTCACGTGACTGCACCTGCGCACCACCTGGGGGACAGCATTGGGAAAGCAGCACAGGGAGAGGCTGGGGCTCTGGCTCCTGGCATTGCCACCGGCAATACAGGCCTTTGTCTCTAATCCGGGGACTCTTGTCTTCTGCCAGAATCTATTAAAATGGGGAGAGCTAGGCAGGCTATCTTGTTAGCTTATCTGAAGGATAAAATCTCTTGACAAAGAGATGTCTTGACAAAGAATCAACTCCAGGTTCTTACTCAAAGATTCCATTACAAAGCACGGAGGGAGGCTCTCCTCCCCTTTTTCTTTTTTTTTTTTTAATTTTATTTTATTTTATTTGAGAGCATACTGTACAGAGGGGTTACAATTACATGGGCAGGATAATGCATACATTTCTTACCAAGCATTGCAGCCTCCTCCTTTGTTTACCCTTCACCTCCCTTCCCAGCCTCCCCCCTCCCCCCCCACCCAATCCTTCCCCCCCCACACACACACTGACATTGTAAAGCTCCTTTTTGACATGACATTTTGTACTTCTCATTGTTGCAACAGGTCCACCTGAATCCTTAAACGACTTGTTTGTCCCCATCTCCTCCACAAGTTATACTGACATCAAATATAGTGAAAGCGGGGGTTACACTGTGGGGGAGGGACATACAAAGCAACAAAGAAATAATCTAATAATGCGTTAGAAACAAATGCATGAAAGAAAAAAAAACATTTAAATACATATCTTAGGGCCCTCAGAAATCTTAATACCTCTCCCTTTGCTTGAAGCAGGAGAGATAAGCCATATCCCTCATGCTTTCCAGGAGAAGCAGAACTAAAGTCCTTGCCGTTCCACCCAAATGCACATAACAGTTTCAGAAAAGGTTCAGTATTGAGGAGGGAAAAACAGATCTTGACAGCCAGCAGTATAAAGAGTAGGAGTGTAGCCATTGCAGAGACATGGCATGGAGCTGTTGCTCATTTAATCCTTCCAGTCACGTGACTATGGATGTGACTCACCTTGTCACTGCGCCCTCAACCACAGGGGCCTGGCTCTGAGCCTACGTGAAGAGAAAATATAGCATAAAACATATTAAATGAAACCAGTTATTACAGTTTTGGTCAAATCATTGTCTGCCTGTCTCCACCTCCGCCATAGCAGTATTTTAGTTTATAGAAAGGATGAGACGCACCCATGTAGATTCAGCTACAAGTCCAGGGGACCGGGCTGAGGTGAGTCACAAAGGTTCTACTTCTGGCTTTATTATTCTTGTCACACCCTTCTGGTGCCAGGGCCAGGACTTTGGGCAAGGAGTTATGTCTGCTCTCATTCCTGTAGGGAGCTGGAGCAGAAGAAAGTAACTTAATTCTATTCACCAAATCTTTCATTATAATAGACAAGACAGTATTGCCAGCTTCCTGGTTAGAAGACCAAATTAAATAGCCGAAAGTGTATCAATTCTTTGGAGCCCTCTGGCTTCTCAGCATACAGAGCAGATTACACTTGGGCTCTGTCACACGGAGCCCTGTTACCAGTTCTGCATCTGTACAGTGAGGTCAGCCGACTTGCTGGGTTAGGAAACGATCTCAAATCCTGTAAAATGCTCCTGGGTGAACAGCCACAGGAAGATGATGGGGCTCAGCACAGGCTCTGAAGGGCCTGGCATTCGCCACGTAATCTGACTTCCCGTAGCAGTCACCAAGAGAATCATAGTGCTCCTGAGCACTCATGAAAACGGAGAAATCATTGTGTGCCTTTCTCTGATGACTCCTCAGGATCACAGCCAAATGACCATTAAATTGAATGTTTTAGTGCAGACAGTTGGGAAAGGGTAGGTCGCGTTTGCTCTCATCATGCTCTCAGGGTATCTGTGTGAACACACATGATGAATTCACTGGCCTGGTGCTCGTGTGCCCAGATAGAGCACAGAAAGGGCAGTGCTGGGTTCGACTGACTTTTACACTGACGGCTACTTTTGATTTAAAATAGGAAACGTGTTCTCCCTTAAAAGCACTAGAGGTGTGATTTGTTTTAGAAGTGCCTTAGTATGAAGAGAAATCATTCACTTACACAGTGAGAGGGAAAAAAAATGTGTGTGTTTTGTATGTGGCAGTCTTCTTTTACATTAGAAATGGAGATGTAGACAAAGGATATTTTGCTCTTTCTGATTTATCATGAAAGCATCTACTAAAAGTAGTTTAGTGAAATCTCACAAGTTAAAGAAGCTGTCTACTCAGCACAGGCCCACAGAAATTGGATAATTTAAACTTTAAAAATGTATATAATATTAAGGATGTTGAAGCTTAACAGTTTCACATCTAGAAACAAAGCATTTTAACATTAAATATGTTAAATGCTAGCGAGCCAGTTATATGGAAATTTACTTACTGAATTTATTTTGATAGAGTTAAAAACCTTGTGGAACTTTGTAGTTCTAAACTATCTTCAATGCTTCTTCAGAACTGAGTTGGACATAGAGCTTTTGGTTTTTCTTTACTATAATGAAATACCTAAAACAGGATAACTTTATAAAGAAAATAGGTTTGTTCAGCTTATACTTCAGTTCTGATGAGGAACTTCATGAGAATGTATTAAAGTAGTTATCACACCACCAGTAGAAATCAGAGAAACTGGGGTCCCACGGTCCCTTGCAAGGTCATGTCTGAGACCATAGAACTACTAGGCCCCCATCTCTAACCCTGCTATACCAAGGACCAAGCTCCCAACCCAGGAGCCTGTGGGTGACAATATCAAAACCATAGCAGGTTGTTTGGCTTTGGCTTTGATTTTTTGATATTGGATTTTTGTTTTTCTTTAGCACTTTACAAAAACTTTGAAAAGAAGATTTAATCAGAATCATCAAATGTAGGCTAGCTCATGTCTACAAATCCCAGCTACCTGGGAGGTAGAGATAGGAGGCTTACTGTCTGAGGCTAGCTTCAAGCAAAAACACAAAGCCCTAACTGAAAAAGGGCTGAGGGGTTGACCTGGCAGAGCACCTTTCTGACGAGCACAACGCTCTGAGGCTAAACCCCAGTACCATCAGAACAAAAAGAAATAAATAAAATCTGGGTTCTTGTAGGTGGACATGGCTGACATCGAGACTGAGGAGAACCGCTACTCTCTGTTCGTCGAACTCCTGGAAGCTAGTCACCATGAGGTCCAGTTTCAGCACTTGATTTTGCTCCTGCAAGCGTGGCCACCGATGCAGGGTGACAGTGTGTAAGTATTGCATAAAACTAGATAGTGAGAGTTGCTCAGCTAGCCTTTAGTTCTAAAGGCTAGCATCTTTAGATGAACCAGTGGGGCAAACACTTACTGGTTTCAGTCTAAGGGAAGTTTTCTAAAGCTCCAGTGAGTCCCTGGAATTGAGGTAAGATAAGACCGTGTGCTCTGGACTGTGTGTGCCTGGAATTGTGGGTAGCATCAGACTATGCACTTCTGTGCCATAACTATGCCTGGAACTCTGGGTCCAATCAGGCTGTGCGCCCCATGTCTGTGCCTGGATTTGTGAGTGGAATCAGGCTGTGCGCTCCATGTCTGTGCCTGGCATTATGGGTCGTTTCTCTGTTTCCTTACACATCCACTGCTAACTTAATGAAGCATATATTATAGCACACTAGCCAGGCCAGCAAGTTTTGCAGTCTAAGAAGCAACAACAAAGCTCATATGAATGTTCTTCACAGATGTACAGATAAAGGATCCATTCTTACTACAGATCTTGGCAACCCATGACATTGACCACTTTCCATTTCTTACATTAAGGAGGTACACACACAGAGGGCCAGCATCACAACTCATGAACGTTGGGGACATTATTAGGTACAATAGGAATACTTAAGCACAGGCTCTAGGATGCCATCAGGACCTGTTTACCAAGGTGGCCGCTAGGTAAATAACAGAAGGATGGCATGTAGCCTTGACACACAGGATGAATATATGTTTGATAACTTACCTATTATTCTGGAAGCTGGTGGCTCATATCTGTAATCTTAGTTATTCAAGAAGGTAAGATCTGAGGATTGTGGTTCAAAGACAGACCAGGCAGCAAAGGCTTGGAGACTCTTATCTCCATTAAAGCAGTGAAAAGTAGAACAGTGGCTCACGTGGAGCAGCAGACCCAGTGAATAAACTAAGGGACAGCACCTAGGCCTTGAGTTTAAGACCATATCATATTTTTTCAGCTGAACAGGGGTCATTGAAACAACAAAAGCTGTTGTGGATATTGTTGTGTCTAATCATGCCTAGCATAATTTACCCCCTGTAGTCCCAGCTCCTCCAGAGGAAGAAATGATACTTCAAGGCCAATAAGAAAAAAAGTAGCAAGACTTCCAGCTCAATCCAAAGGCAGATATAGTAGCGTATACTTGTAGACACAACTGTGGCGGGGGGTGGGGGGGGGTGGGGGGGGGGGCTATATGTAGGTGGTCCTTGGTCTGAAACTGGCTTAGAAAGAAACATAAGAACATTCTCTGAAAAATAAAGCCAAAACAGGCTGGCGATATGAGTCAAGTGATAGAACACCTTCCTGAGTTCAGACTCCAGTACAACAGTACTACTATATATATCCATATGTGTGTGTGTGTGTGTGTGTGTGCGGTGTGTATGTGTGTGTATACGTATGTGTATATACTACATAGCTATATATGTGTATATATAGGAAATAATCATATACATATATGTATATATATCCATATATGTAATTAGTATTGAGGAAATTATAAATGTTTTGAAATGCTGCAATGTCTTTCCAATTCTCCTTGTCCCAAAGCTCGAATATTTTCTTCAGAATGTTTGCTGGAGAGTCACATCTGATTTATGGTTTCATCACAACAATTGTGATCCAGTATTTTCACTAAGAAATTCCTTGTGAATCAATATAGAAGAAATGAACAGTCCCACTTACTGGAATCAAAAGACACTGTGCAATTGACACATGTCAAGCAAGCCCCATTACAAAAAGAAAGAGAAGAAAAGAAAAAGAAAAAAGTTTCTTACATCTCTTTTACTTGTGGCAGAGATGGCCTTTTGCCTTGCTTTTTTTTTTTTTTTTGGTCATGGGGTTTGAACCCAGGACCTGGCTGTTGTCCCTGAGCTTCTTTATGTTCAAGGCTAGCACCCAAAATGGACTACCACTTTGAGCCACAGTGCCATGTCTGGTTTTCTGCTGGCTAATTAGAGATAAGAGTCTCACGGAGTCTCCTGCCTAGGCTGGCATGGAACTGAGGTCCTCAGATCTCAACCTCCTGAGTAGCTAGGATTCTAGGTATCAGCCACTGGCACCTGGCTTGCCTTGTGATTTTTTTAAGAACAGAATCCTAGCTGAACTATTTGATTTTTGCCATTCTGGGGATTGAACCCAGGGCTTTGAGCCTGCTAGGCAAAAGTTTTACCACTTGAGACATGCCACCAGCCCTTTGGTGTGTGTGTGTGTGTGTGTGTGTGTGTGTGTGTGTGTGTGTGTGTGTGTGTGTGTGTGTGTGTGTGTGTGTGTGTGTGTGTGTGTGTGTGTGTGTGTGTGTGTGTGTGTGTGTGTGTGTGTTTGGTTCCGGTCATGGGGCTGAATTTTGGGCCTGGGCGCTGTCCCTCAGCTCTTCAGCTCAAGGGTAGCACTCTACCACTTGAGCCACAGTGCCACTTCTAGCTTTTTTCTTTTTCTGCGTATGTGGTGCTGAGGAATCAAACCCAGGGCCTCATGCATACAAGGCAAGCGCTCTACCACTGCACCACCTTCCCAGCCCCTGTGTGTATTTTTTGAGACAGGGTCTTGCTAGTTTTGCCTGGGCTGGCCTTGAACTTCCTTCTCCTGTCTTTACCTGTCAGTGGCTCGGATTCCAAGGAGGCTACTGTGCTTGCAGCATTTAAACTGCAGTGCAGACATATCCCTTTTGGAATCTTCAGTTTCAGTGGCCCTGAGGGGTTTTTTTTTTTTTTTGCTCAAAGCTAGAGCTCTACTAGCTACAGCTCCACCAGGCTTTTCTGGAAGATAAGATAAGAGTCTCTTGGACTTTCCTGTCCTGACTGGCTTGGAACCACAATCCTCAGATCTCAGCCTCCAGAGTAGCTAGGATGACAGGCACCAGCCAGCCCTATAGCCTCTTTTGTTTCATTATTCCGTAGAGAGTATTTTGGGTAGATTCATTAACTCTAGTTTTATTCTCTTTCTTTACTTTTAGAGCAGTGACTAAAGTCATTCTTCCCTCGCCCCCTCCTTCCTCCCCCTCTCCCCTCCCCTGGACCAAATCCATTTCACTGGAAACATTTATTACATGTAAAACATTGAATTCATTTATAGACAAATTGTATAGGTATTGTCTTACTTCTGTATTCACTTGCAAATGCAACTTGTAGATTGCTAACCTGTGTGTGATGAAAGTCCTTGGTGTTTATCATAGGTCACATGTCCAGCAGTCTGCGTGGGCTCTGGGCAGCCTGGCTCCTCTTCCTGAGGGACAGCAGGAGAATAAGTTGGAGCCAAGCTTGCCTTGTTTTTGATTTTCTGGCTCACATTGCTTTCCCCACAGAGACTCCTTTAAAATGGGTTCTCAGAATTACTTTTGAACAGTTTTTTTTCCCCCTAGACTAGCCAATGAATGATTGTAGTACCTCCAAACTAGCCAAAATATTAAAAGAAGAGGAGAGAAGAGAAGGAAGGTGTGAGATGGTCAGTACAGTCAGTTTAAAGATTTGCTTGAGCTACCTCATGGCTAGCTGGCCAGGACAAGGTGCGAATTCCTTTGTTCAAGTGTTTGGAACCAAAAACGTTTTTCAAGTTTGGCTTTTGGAATATTTGCATTGCACATCATGTGATACGTTGGGGATGGGACCCAAGTCTATATGAAATTTATTTGGGTGTCATCTGTACTCTTATGTGCCACCCGAAGGTAATTTTATAGAATATTTTAGTGCACCTGCACTTGGCTTATGACCTGTCACCAGGGTCCGATATGACATCATTCAGCTTTCAAAAAGTTTCACACTTTGGAGCATTTGAAATTTCAGATCTTTAGATTCGGGATATTGAGCCTGAGTGATCTCTGGTGTCTGGATTTACTCCCTTATACGAATATACATGAAAAGTACAATAGACTTGTAACTTCTGGAAGATTCATAGTTCGCATGCAGTGTGTCCCAGCTGACTGGTAAAAATCTGTTGGGGTAATTTGTTGTCAAGGCTACATTGTTGTGCTGTCAAAACAGGGTCACCACTGACAGACTACTGTTTCCACAATGGTAAAACAGCCCAGAGAAAGCCAGAACAGAGGTGCGGCTGGAGTGGAAGCAGATCCTGGCCCACTGCCCTGGCTATATGCTGTCCGCTGAGCTGACCCAGCAGGCTTTGCCTAAGGCTTCGGCAGTGTTGTTAGTGCCTTTGTCATTATTACACTCACAAGTGACTTCAAGGGACAAGGCAGAGAATTCTCTCAGGGGAAGGACCATCATAGTTGTTCAGTGTGTAAAATCTACAGCTGTAAGGCAGCATCAGACTGAATGGTAAAATGTTTAGCGAATAACTGTTCCCCTACTCCTGAGGCAGTGGAGGAAATCTGCCCTTCACTTGTCTGTTGTTAGAGCCTAAGCGGCCCTGTGAAAGAGAAAGGAACAAGCCCACTATGTCCGTCCCCACCAAGGTGCAGCTCAGTGGCCAGCCTCTGCAGACTGTGTGTGTTGGGGAGGGGGGCGGGGGGGGGGGGGGGAGGGGGCCTTCGGCTCTGTTCAATAAATCCTCATCACCAACACTTTGTGTCTTTCTCCATTAGAAGCAGCACCAGCAGTAATCCATGGGTAAGACTAGCCACGGTGATGCTGACCAGATGTACAGTGGAGAACAAGAAGGAGCTGGGGAATGAGGTGTTAAAAATGTGCCGCTCCTTGTACGACACCAGGCAGATGTTGCCTGCAGAGGTAAGTCTCCACGGGGTGCTCGGCTTTCTTCTCAGAATGCTTCATTCAAAGCAAGCCTGTGACTACTGCAGGAACACTTAGCCTAAGCCATCCCCGGTAAGGCCCACCATGTGGAGCATATCAGGTGAAGAACAATAAAGGAAGGATGCTCTGAAGAAGTTTTCTTTGTCAGAGCTCAGTATTCCTTCTACAAATCCCAGAGCAGAAAACACTTTTTCCCCTGGGTGCCTTTGTATATCAAATCCAGATGCTGTCCCAAGGGCTCAGAATAGCCCTGTGTTATCTGTCTGAACTAGGCTAGTGGTAAAGGAATAAATAAGCCTTAGCCATCTCTCTGCCCAGTTCTGATTTGAACATACTTCCTTGACCCCATTGTCAAGAGACTACATAACTACTATATCTTCTGCAACATAGGGTAAAAACTCAACCACCTCTGATGTGACGTTTGTTCTCGGTCTGATCCCATGATCTGACTGTCTCAGAGGTACTTATCCACATGGGTCTGTGTGCAAACATTTTGTACATGCTATTAATTACAGCCTCTGCTCTGGATCTCCCCCCAGCAGTAAATTGTTTGAACAATTTATGTCTGAAATGTGAGCATTTCGATATAGTAAATTAATTGGTTTTAAATTTTCACTTGATAATAGATAAATTTTAAAAAACTGTAAATATGATCCTTTGAATTCTCCTTGTACTCATCCAAGGAAACTTCTTACTACGAATACACAATTAATGAATTAGTTTTTGAATAAGGACTAGGTAAGATATATGCATCTGGTACCAGTACTGGGACTTGAATTCAGAACCTCACACTCTCTCTTGGCTTTTTCACTTAAGGGTGACACTCTACTGCTTCTCTGCTTCTAGCTTTTTGCTGGTTAATTGCCTGGGCTGGCTTTGAACCATGATCCTCAGATCTTAGCCTCCTGAGTTGATAGAATTATTTATAGGTATGAGCCACCAGTGCCCAGCTAGATAAGTGTTTTTCTGTTTTTTTATTATTATTAAACTTTAAAATATTTTACTCATTTAAAGAAGCCTTCCAACCACCAGACCAGCAAAATTATTTTATAAAACATTCTAAATGCCAACATTAAAAATACTTTCTGCTTTCTCTAATGAGTCTGATTTGGGCTGCATTGGATGGTCCACTGGTGTGAGCTATTTCCTCACGTATGTCTCCAACCCGGAAGGAGGCTTACCTGAGATTACCTGTGTGCTGCTTCATCCACAGTAGTAGCTCACTAGGCTCTGGGATTCTCCTGGGATGGAGAGAGGAACAGGTCTCTGTTCTACTTTACTGAATAAAAGATTAACTCAAGTTCTGTTGGAACCATGACTTTTCTTCATTTTCTTTATGCTACCTCAGTTTATTTTCTTAATTGGGCACAGAGATAGATATTAAATGCTTTCATTAGTGGAAGTTTGAAAATGGTGTATACTATTTTAATTGATGGCTGATTAAGCTCAAACAGCCACTAAAAGTATTACAAAGGAAGGAACACTACTAGAAGGTGGAAATATCCTTTTATTTCACACATTCAGAAGTTATGTAGCTTAATTTCAGAGTCCATAGTGTTTGATAGGACTGGGGTGGTAAAAATACCCATGGCTGGCTTCTATTTCAGGCTGGTGTCTTTGGTAGCTCTGCCCTGGTGGAGGTGTATAAGCCCAGTGGTTCATGACTGAGCTCTTGGCTGGACTCACCCTTTCCCATCATCCCATTCCCCATCCCTGCCCAGCTCCCACACTCACACTACTGTCCTTGTCATTCTTTACAATGCCTTCTGCGGCTGCCTGCTCGTGCGCATGACACCTGCTGCATTGAGGCCATGATGTTTTTCCTTGGGAGAGTTATTACAAGATAAAACCACTGGTTTTCACTGGTCATGTGTCCCATAATCTTTAAAGTTCTAGATTTTTCTTCTCAGTTTGTATCCATAGCAATATAGGAATCCTTCTCAAGAGTGGAGATGTGTAGGAGAGACACCGACATCACATGGGTTGTTGGCGTTCACACATGTGGGATGCCAAGTTCCAGCTATTTGTGACTGTCCCTGAAGGTCCAAGCTTTTACTGAGCCATGGCATGAATTAGAGTCTCAGATGCTATAAACTATTGTGTGGGAGTGAGTCACCCCACTACTAAGTGAGCTGCCTAACCCTCAGCTCCTGAATCTCAAATGTGAATACTCTACCTTGTGCTTGAGTCACTTTCTAGAGTGGCTGGAGCCTGAGTTTTAGAATCAGATGAGATTGTGATTCAGGTCTTTCACCCTTTTCTGTACCTACTTTCCTCATCTCATTAGTGGGGCTAAAATAGTCCATTCCTTAAAGGATTTGTGGGGACAACTCAGGGCGGTGGTGCATTGAGGCCGTCTAGCGAGCAGTTGGGAGTTCAGTTTGGAATAGCTACCTCTGTGGGTGAAGACCATAGACCGAGAAAGATCAGGCGCCAAGTCCATCGTGACCCGAGAGGCAAGGGTGCAGTTCATGGCCACCAGTGTGGTGGGTCAGGACCCTAAGTGGGCAAGGGCTGCAGTGGCAAGAACTCAGCCCGGTCCAGGGCCTATGGTGCTTGTGACAAACCCCTTGGGCCCTGCATCCCCTGCACCTTGTGACCATCTTGGAGGGGTGTGTGGTTTTGCTTCCCTGATTGTCTCAAAAAAAAAAAAAACCAACCAAAACAAAACACAAAATCAAACCAAATAACTGCAAGGGATGGGATATGAAGAACGAGCCAAGGCAGGGGCTGAGAGCTGTTAGCTTAGAGGCAGGAACTACTCAGAGGCCCACGTCAACGGACTCTCAGGTATCCTGGCCTGGCTCTGTGCCATCTACCCATTATGAGTCTTCAGAAGGGTAGGCAAGTTATTTCATAAAATTTATCCTTAAATTATCATTAAATTGTCATTAAACATATCAGCCAACTATTGTGCTTGGTGTAAGCATCATAAATTGCTGAGAACTTCTTTACCAATCACTACTGACTCATTGCATAAGCAAGTACCACATGAGGAGAGGGAATTATATACGTTTGTTTCCTTGAGCATAATATGTGCCACCTAACTTGGGAATATGAGGAATAAGAACATGTTGGCTCTCAACAGGGGCAAATGGATGGATACTTGTAGTTTCTCTGCACAAAAAACATAAATAGGAAATATTTGCAAAATATAGTGAGAACTGGGGAAATCGAGGTATGTTCCCAGAGGAGGTGGAGTCTTCAGTGCCTTTTTAAGCTGGGACCTAAAGAGAAAGGGCAGAGATGACCCCCTGTGCGGGTTCGGCATCTAGCAATTGCCCTCCGTTATGGGAGCCCCAGGCCACATGTGACTATTAAAGTTAAACTTAAGTAAAATTAGGTCAGGCACCGTGGCTCATGCCTATAATCCTAGTTACTCAGAAGGCTGAGATCTGAAGCAATTAGAAGCCAGACTGGGCAGGAAAGTCTGTGAGACTCTTATCTCCAGTTACCGCCAAAAAGTCACAAAGTGTAGCTGTGGCTTATGTGGTAGAGCACAATCTTTGTGCAATAAACCTTCAGATATAATACTCAGCCCCTAAATTCAAGCCCCAGGACGGCACCAAAAAAAAAAAAA